TCACCACATTAAACCACAGAATCAGAGCCACAGTGTGAGTCTGCTAGCTCTGATGTCAGTGTTCTATCCAGTGGAATACTCTGAGGAAGTGGTTAATGCTGGTCTCTGTCGCTTGGGTTCATCTACCACCTACCTATTCTGATGAACACCTGTCCATGAACACATTTACCTTATCCCTTCCCTTCTATAAAGTGTTTTCTGCCTCCCTGCAAGTGTAATCACTAGAACTGCCTTCCAGTTACCTCTTCTATGTTACCTCTGCTGCTGCTAGAGTCTACAGGCATTTACCACAGCACCCTTATCACTTGGTTCCATTTTTTTATTCGTATGTCTTTTTCTGCTACATGGAGTGTTTTTTATAAAATTTTATTTAAGGAATACAAACTTCATGCATTTCATATTTACAAATTTAGGGACATGGTGAGTCTTCCCCACCCTACCTCCCTCATGCCTATACTCCCACCCTTCTTCCTCTTCCCTCTCCCATTTAACTGAGATCTTTGAGGAAGCTGACTAAAACTCAGGTGACTTCATTCTAAAGACTTTCCTGGAGACCTATGATGAACAAAGTGTGATGCCAGAAGCTATATGGATGCAAAAATGACCAAGATACAACTTGTGCACTTAAGGAGATGTACTGAATGCTATGAGAGTAGAACTTGCACTCATAGTGGCAAAGGGCCAGGGAAACCTGAGTCTGTTTTGCATGATCATCACCTTCTTCTCAAAGTCAAATGGTAGTGCTTTATATGCAAAGAGCCATACTTAGAGAGATATCTTTCTTTGTGGTCTCATAATTACTTGTCAAAGGCATATAACTAAATGCATCATCTCTCATATTGCATTCTACCAAGGAATTGTGGCTACATATACAACCAATAGTAAGTAGATCTGCACATATTGTACATGTGGCAATAATAGGTTTATTTCAGTTGTTGTTACAGTACATGACATAGAAATGTATTAAAATTCAGTTGCCTGAGAATTTGGGCTGCACTTAGCGTTAATGAAATTTTAAAAGTAGCAAGGAACAACAAAAACCAGAAATTATTATTTAAGATTCCAATTAAAGAACATTAAAATATAGGATAGTTCACATGTGTTATTCATGAAAGATTTCATTTCAAGAGATAAAAATACATCTCAAAATGAAATTATACCATCATCCAGGCAGGTGGTTACTATAACACTAAAGGAATTAAAATAGGCAGCAAAATTAACTAGAAGCTGTCAGAGAAGCAAAAAAATATGTAAAGCATTCAAAGTTTATGAATTCAAACTTCCAGTACTAAGTTTGAATTTGAGTAGGCTGTGGGTCAGTCTCTCAACTTAACAGCCATATGATGCCAGGAAGGCTACATGCCCAGAACAGTACAGGACAATGTGTGGCACCAATTTGATTTTTCTAGCCACCAGAGAAGCCTACCAGCTGTCACCACAAAATCATCAAGTTCAGAAAAATGAAATATCTGAAGAAAAACAGATTTTTTAAAACTGGGAAATTCCTTCTGTTTTGTTGATTATTCAAGCCTACAAAATGCCAGGCCTTTCACTCTTCTGGTCATCCAGGTGGGAAGGAGACAGTCAGTGATGACCAAGGTTAACAGGAATAACAGGGGTAACAGTAACCCCATCATGCAGTTGTTCTAACTATCAGAAGCATGAAATATTACCATGGTGCTTAAATGTCGCAAAAATGTGAGTACTGGTCAAGAAAAAAATATTTAGCAGAACTTTTCAGGAAGATAACTTAAGGGATTGAAGGAGAGAGGGGAAGTATGGGTATTTTAGAATTGTATCTATGACAGGCATGAAATGTGTTCCCTTTATATTAATAAAAATTTTAAAGTAACAGAAATTTAAAAAAAAAAACAGAAAAAGAACATCATATATGGATAAACTGATTGGGGGTAGAGTGAGACCACCAGGACAAATTCAGGCAACAATGGATTGCCAAAATCCTCTAGAAGAAGATGGGAACCATAGCCATTAACAGCACGGTTTTGGTTTTGTTGATTGAGAATTTGTAAGCCTCTGGCTCTTCATCACTCAGCAGCCAATCCATAAATAATAAGTGTCGAGAGAAAAAAATTTAAAGTTTGAAAAGGCACAAAATGCTCATGTTTTTATAGCCCAGTTTTATGTACTTCTCATTAGAATAATGATGTTCATAGTTCTTTTATGATTACTTACTTATTTTTATTTATTTGAAAGAGTGACAGAGAGAGAGAGAGAGAGAGAGAGAGATTGATTGATTGATTTTCTATCCTCTGATTCTTTCCCCAAGTGCCCCCAACAACCAGGGCTGGACCAGGCCAAATCTAGGAGCCAGAAACTCCATCTTGGTCTTCCCTGTGAGTGACAGGGCCATTATCTGCTTCCTCCCAGGATGCATTAATAGGAAGTGGGATGAGAAGCAGGGACTACAGAACTGAAACCAATATGAGAGCTGCTGCACCACAGCACCTGTCCCATAATTCTTGCTCTCTCATTCTTTTCCCCAAGATCTTTGCCAAGGTAAATTGTAGATTTTCTTGTCTTAGGGGCCCTTAGGTAGAACATAGGCCATAGCAATGAGAGAATAAGCACTAGAGCTTTTCAAACATCTGTCTTGAACTTCTACATGATTCCATGCTTTGAATACTCTTCAATTAAAGGTTGAAATATTACCTTACTTACACTAAAAACCTTTCACTCTTCTATGATTTCACTAAATCCAATTGTAGACAAGGAATGGTTTATTTTAAAAACAAGCTTACATCCCAATCTGGATGGCATCTTTACTTCTTACATAGGGAGCCTAGGAATTAAATAGGCAAATAACATTATTTTCTTGGGTAGGAAATAAAAGAACCATGAAGTAAATATAAATTTGCAATAGTTCATCTAGTGGACCAGAGAAATTTGGAATATCAGTTAGGACATGCATATGTGTATAAGGCTTACAGGATCTAAGACAGCATATTATGAGTATGCTCCTGGAAATGCTAAGTAAAGATTTGGTTTTGTTTTTGACAGGCAGAGTTAGACAGTGAGAGAGAGAGAGAGACAGAGTGAAAGGTCTTCCTTTTCCGTTGGTTCACCCCCCAAATGGCCGCTACAGCCACAGCAGAGAGCTGGAGTGGAAGAGGAGCAACCAGGACAGAATCCGGCGCCCCAACTGGGACTAGAACCCGGTGTGCCGGCGCCACAGGCAGAGGATTAGCCAAGTGAGCCACAGCGCCAGCCCTAAGCAAAGATGTTGATAGGCCACAACTCTGCAGTGGATGCCACTGAAATACTCTTGTCTTTTAGGCACTTCATAAGAGAACGGCTTTCACCCTGAGCCTTCAGTTATTTATTATCAGGGTTTTGTTTTCTCTTTGAAGTTGTTTTCTCCCCCAGTTTGCAGCACCTTAATAATGTGAAGAGCTTACACTAGAAAAGCACTGGAGCAAAGCAAAGCTTCATGGAGGCATACTGAGAGAATGAAAGCATATCGCACTAATTCAGACATCCCTTTCTACCTTCCCGCTATCAACTAAAGCAAGTCATAGAAGCAAAAGTAAAAACAGTCACATGAAAACATCATATGCAGGGAGTTTCAGGTTTGTTTTGTTACATGTGCAGAACAAAATCTTCCATAAAGCTGCTAAGGCTTTCTAACATCATCAAGTCTTCGTGTGTGTGTGTGTGTGTGTGTGTGTGAGTCATCAAGTTGTTGAAGCCCAGAAAATCAAATTTAGTTTAGGGCTGTTTGATAATGTAGTAATATGTAAAATGTGATTCACCAATTAAATCATGTAATTGGAAAATCAAAAGCATGCTCTGACTGCTTGGTAGACACACATAAGTAAATCCATTATCATTTTAATTCTGTATTTGTATTATAACTATAATTATACCTTTAGTTGATGGTTCTACATCCAAGTTCCTTATGGAAGAGAAACCTTTCATTGGTTCATTCTTTTCTCCTTCAAGTATTTCTTGCCAGGTCATTTGCTAGGCAGTATGGCTAGCTCTCTGTTCCTTGCTTTCACAAAGCACTTATCCTGCAAATATTGTTTAAATTCTTCTGAGATGGAAAAGTAAATCAAAGTCAGAACTCTGCCAAAGTTATAGACATTAGTTAAAATTTAGTCTTTCTGGCTGATTCTTAAATTCTAATGATGTTGCTAAGTTGCATATCGGAAATAAGAGACAGCCAATTTGACAATTTTCTTGCTCAGTGATTTTTTTACTGGCTGAGAGCTTAATGATAGATAAAACTGGGACTTGAATATTTGTTAGATGCTGTAAAAACTACCCTAATATCTTCTCTGTGAACATCTGTTGAAATCTAAGGTGCCTGAGTATATCTAAACTGCATATATTTCTTTAAATTCAAATCAGTTCAAGAGTTGATTGGATGATTAAAATAATTTCTCAGTAGGAATTTCAAAATGTGCCCTGCTTTGTTCTTTTCTTAATTCTACTGAAGTAATATGGGCCTGATTAAATAGTGCAAGACTTCCAAATAAATGTAACAGGAGGAGTATGGGGATGAATTACCTGAGTTTAGGCCTATGAACAAAAAGCATTCCTTAGCTGACACAGTCATTCTTAATATTATTTTACTACAAAAAAGAAATGACAAATGTTTTTACTGTTATCAACACTGGTTTTTTAAGGCCACACTCATGAAATTCTACAGCCAGGAAAGTATGTCTCTAGTAATTGTAACATGGCTCCTTCACGATTTGTACTTTGTAAACTCATGAAGCATATTTTATATTGCTTTCCACCCCCCCCCCAAAAAAAAACACATTAAATTCTAAGGCATGCAATAATCATTCAATATTTTTGGTAACTTCTCCCTTACATATTCTAGAATATCTTGGATTTTATTTCATTTGGGTGAAAACACATAATCACTAAAATCAGGAGAGTAGCTAATTCATACTCAGATTGAAAATTTGACACCAATTCATTTTTTAAAAATTCAATGTGTATTTAAGAGTACTTTTTTTTCTTGTTTATAGGTCAATGGGACAGAAATTGAATATGAATTTGAAGAGATTACATTGGAGAGGGTAAGATACAATTTTTGGTCCTCTTTGTGAAATTACATAAGTGTGTATTAATTATAACCTGGATGTTTCCCATAACACTCACAGTAAGAATACTGATGAAATGAATGCAGTAGAAGAAAACTGAGACAGCAGACCAGATAATCAGAGCATTCAGTAATATCAACTGCAGTGGAACAATGAGCTAGAAATGTTTGATGAGTTTGTCTAGCACCATATTCTTAATGTTTTTATGATTAGTGTTTGGGCTATAAATTTCATATGTTACAAAATATTTGCATTTATGTGGTATTATATTATTATTACTAGAGTTACCATGTATTTCTTCTTTAGTTTTTGAAAAAAAGTAATGGAATTTAAAACTACCCATAGTGACAAGCACAACAATCCTGCAGAGTGCTGCAAATATACAGGGTGAACCTTGGCAAAGGCCTTTAACAAGTTGAGGAATGTCGGTGCCACACTGCATTTACTTATTGAGATATTGTACAAAATGGTAAACACATGAACAAAAAGGACAAAAGATCACCTAGAAGAAAATGACTGAAAGGTATTACCAAGATAGTCATCATAAAATAAATAGCTAGTAAACATCTTAAAACTACTTAAATTTCATTAAGAAACAATGGAAGATAATAAAAAAATTTTCTCTCTCCACTTGGCAAAGATTTAAAGTGAATGTTAATATCCACTGCCAATGAGTGGTCTTGGAAATGAATGGAAACATAAAGGAGCAATTAGAAACATGGATCAAAAGCCTTGAAAATGAGCACATTTTTTGATCCAGAAATTGTGCATATAGGAATGGACAAATAAAAATTATTCTTACTGGTATTATTTGAAGGTTGAAAATGATGTTTTTAATAACACATTTCACATATATATGTATATATATATACTCTCATAATAAAATTACATTAAATTATATTGAAATTATACCTTAGAAAAATATTATAGTTATAGTATAAGAGATCAGTTTATATTGTTGAATTTAAAGCATCAAATTTTAAATTGGTATTTAAAATATAATCCAATAAGCACATAGCTATACATACATAATATAGCTTCAGAAATACATGCATAAAGGGGCCAGCACTATGTCAAAGAAGGTTAAGCCTCTGCCTGCAGTGCCAGCATCCCATATGGGTGCGGGCCAGAATACTAGCTGCTCTAATTCTGATCCAGCTCTCTGCTAATGCTCTGGAAAGCAGTAGAAGATGCCCCAAGTACTTGGACCCCTGCATCCACGTGGGAGACCCAGACAAAGCTCCAGGCTCTTGGCTTGGCCCTTGAGGCCATTTGGGGAGTAAGCCAGCAGATAGAAGATCTCTTTCTCTCTCTCTATCTCTCTCTCACTCACTCTTTCTCTCTTCCCCCTCCCTTCTCTCTCTGTGTTTCTGTCTTTTTTTTTTTTTTTTAGAAAACTTTTATTTAAAAAGTGTTTCTGTCTTTCAAATAAGTAAACAAGCAGACTTTTAAAAAAGAAAAGAAATACATGCATAAAAACTGGAAGGATATACAACAAAAAAATCTTACTAAGGATTTGTGATAAGTTTTTTTTTTAACTTTTATTTAATGAATATAAATTTCCAAAGTACAGCTTATGGATTACAATGGCTTCCCCCCCATAACGTCCCTCCCACCCACAACCCTCCCCTTTCCCACTCCCTCTCCCCTTCCATTGTAATAAGTTTTTAGTTTCTTCTTTTTATTTATTGTTACTTATTATGCCTTCTAATATACACATGATACATTTATAATAAGAAATAAAAATGTAAGATGTTTTCTCCAAGAAGTATGAATTAAGGCTCTAGATTTATACTTTAAGTTTTATCTCCTTTTTAGTTTCCTGATTATTCACATTCATGAGTACGGGAATTTTTCATTTTCAGCCTAATTTTTCATTAAGTGTAAGTGGTTTTAAAAGGAAATTTACATTGAAAGTTAGGTGTCTGACAGATAGGTTCTTAAAAACTTCCATTATGGACTTTTTATAAAATTGTAATGGCATGCTAGAGAAAAATTAGGTTTATGGAAAATTAGGCCAAATGAGAAGAAAAGAATACATTTCTTCTAAATCATTAATCTCTCTAGAACTGGCTATATGATGTGTGGTGTACAGTGTAAAATAAAAATGTGGAATTCTTCTGAACATGGGACCTGATATGACTGAACAGCTCTCATGCCCACGAGGGCAACCCTTCTCCTTACACACACCCTTGCCAATTAAACATCTGGAATAGAATACCATTTAGTTATCCTGGATTCACAGGCCAAAAAAATAACTACAGGCTAGTGTCGATGTGAAATCAAACATTCAATGCGAATAAGAGGATTGCCCTAGTCTGGGTTCTGATGTTCACATGCCTTCTGATCTTGAGCCTATCATTCCCTTCCCTTTCTTCCTCCACTTGCCACTGTCACTCTGTGTACCCCTCCGATGCTGCTACGTCAGACATCATCTTCTCTCAACACCTTCTTGTCCCTGTCCTTATCATTTCTTACAGTCCTCCTCTCCAAGGATTCTTCAAGCCATTCAGACCTTGATTTGTGGATTTCACCCCTCTCCCCAGGATTTCACTATTATTTGTGCTCTCCTTTTCCCTCCTATCCTATAGCATAGTACCTGGTCATTCATCCTAATTCTCCTTCTCATCGACTCAACTTTTTTTCTCCCCTCTGTTTTTGTGCTCACCGGCAAAACACCGGTTCTGGCTAACATACCTCACTTAAAACAACACCTTCTTGGGCCAGCACTGTGTTGCAGTAGGTTAATCCTCTGCCTGTGGTGCTGGCATTCCATATGGGCAACAGTTCTAGTCCCAGCTGCTCCTCTTCCGATCCAACTTTCTGCTGTGGCCTGGGAAAGCAGTGGAAGATGGCCCCAGTGCTTGGGCCCCTGCACCCACATGGGAGACAGAGAAGAAGCTCCTGGCTTTGGATCAGTTCAGGTCTGGCCTTTGTGGCCATTTGGGAAGTGAGCCAGTGGATGGAAGACCTTTCTCTCTGTTTCTCCCTCTCACTGTAACTCTACCTCTCAAATAAATAAATAAATTCTTAAAAAAATCACCTTCCTATAAACTCCATGTCAGCAACTGAGCAACTGAATATGGCTAAGGGAATCACTCATCTCACTTTAAATTTTTATTCATTGGTTAAAATATACTCTCATAAATATCTTGACTATTCTTATACATTTATTTTAAAAAGTCACTTTTTAAATCACTGGGACAACAGTTGCATATCCTCTTGATCTCCTCAAATTTCAAACACCCACTCCCTCATCCTCATTTCAGTTGTTAACCTCCCTTTAGTTGTCCTTGAGAAAATCCAAGTTATCAAGTGAAAATCACTTCACTTTCCTACACCGGGGTTGGCTATCATATTCTCCCATGACGATGAAAGATTCTCCTCCCCTTTCCAAGGCCAACTCTTCATTTGTAATCTGGACTCCATAATCTCTTGTTTGTTAATGACTTTGCTCTACAGTTTCTACTCTTTTCAATGTCAATTCCTTTCTTTCTTCTTCCAGGATAGCTTTAACACAGACATGATGTAATGTATTTCCTCTTTAAAAAAAATTAGCTGTCACTTTGACCTGATGTTACCCTCCTACCATTTAGAATGTTATTGCCTAACATTCTATTTTGCTTTACCAAAAATATGGAGAAATTGTCTATTTTCAGTAATTTCACTTTATTACTTAATTTTCTTATATCAACCTATTTCAAATTTTCATCCCCACAATAGTCCTGAAACCACCCCGATCAAAGTCATAATAGGTTTCATCTTGCTAAATTCAGTCATCAGTTTTCAGCCCTGAGTCTTCCCTGCAGGATTTGACATAGCTGTCACTGCTTCCTTCTTCCAAGATGTTAATTTTTTAACTTTCAGAACAAAACATCTTCTGTTCTTTTGGAACCTCATGGTCTACCTTTCTCTCTCTCTCCTTGCTGGCTCCTCCACTAAATGTTGGAGCACTCCAGCTACCCAGCAACCAGACCCCTTTTCAAACTCTCCGTAATCCCTAAGTGATCTGATGCAGACCCATGGCTTTCAATGTCAACTACTGGGAGAAGGCATTGAGCCTAGTGATCAGGATGCCCACATCCCACATTGAAGTACTGAGTTGGATACCTGGCTCCAGCTCTGTAGTCCAGCTTTCCACCACTACAGACCCTGGAAGGCAGCAGTGATGCTTCAAGTACCCAGGTTCCTGTTGCCCATGTGCGAGAGCTGGATTGAGGTTCTGGCTCCTGGCTGTGGCCCCAGCCCAGCTGTAGGATATTTATTGTGGGCATTTGGGAAGTGAACCTTCAGGTGGCGTATCTCTCAAATAAAAACAAAAACAGACAAAAAAAAAAAAAAGGCACACACAAAAAAATACCAACTCATTAGCATACCTTCTCTTGCTGACTATTCCTCCTACTGAATTTGAAATCTTGGTCAGTCTCTCCCCTGAGCTACAAATGCACAGAGCTAACTGCCCAGTTTGCAATTCTGTTTTGATAACAAGAATCCTGTCTCCCTCCATTCCTTCCCTCAGAGCCGAAGCTGCTTCTACCCTAATATTCTTTATCTTGGTTAATTGGTTCTATTATTTCCCTTACCAGGTCAAAATATCTTAAAAGTCTTAATCATTATTTTTCTTAGTGTCCATGAGCAAATCATGCTGGTACCACCATAAAATACACTTCAAAAATCAATCATATTTTAACCACTTGCTCTGCTAAATCTCAGTGAAAGCTAAAATCACCTCATGCCTGCACACTGTAACAGCTTCCATTTTGCCTCACTATTCTACTCTGAATAACCAGAGTAATCTTTTTCAAAATATAAACCACGTTATATGAATTTTATTATTAAAAGGTGATCATTGCACTTATCACCACCTACATGTCTTCTATAATGTGAGCCCTTGCATTTCTTTCCAACATTATGTCCTCATCTTCAACTCTTCACACATTTCACTGTAGCTACACTGATACTGACATTTTTCAGAA